ACACACACACACACACACACACACACACACACACACACACACACACACACACACACACACACACACACACATTAGCTATGTTTCCATCACCCTATTTTAATGCGCATTTTGAAGTATCGCATGAGAAACGAGTGATGGAAACGCCAAATTAATCTGCTCGCTCTGAGGCGCAAGTAATTTATTATATATGAAAATTATTATATTCTACTTTTCTTAGTGATTTATAGTGCCAATTTATCAGGAAGTGACGATTTTGTTCTCTTTGACTTGTTGGATGGAAATGATGCTTGTTCGCAAATGTTTTATGCGATATTCCAGTTTTGCGCACAAGTTAAATTTGCAACTTTGGATGGAAACTCGGCTACTGATGACCCAAAACATTATGAACATGCATAGGTGAAGTGAATATTGTCAATCATCTCCTGACAAGGTCATGTGAAGGTCTGGGTAATATGCATGGTAAATAACCAACAGGTTCATCTAGTCAATGTATTGGTGCAGGAGAAATGGGTGAGAATAAAGATTTAAATGAATTTGACAAGAGCCAAAATGTTGTGGCCAGACAACTGTCAGAGCATCACTGAAAGAGCAAGGCTTGTAGGCTGCTCCTGGTCAGCATTTGTGAGAACCCACCAACTGTGGTCTGAAGAAGAGCAAACCACAAACTGGATCTTGGGGCAGTGGAAGCAGGTTGTCTGGTCTGATGAATTCAGTTTTATTTTACATCACGTCATTTACATGGGAATGTAATGGCACCAGGGTACAATGCGGGAACATGACAAGCTTGTCAAAGGACTGTGATGCTCTGGGCAATGTTCTGCTGGGAAACCCTGTTTCTAGCCATTCATGTGGACATCAGTTTGACATATGCCACCTACCTAAACCTCACTGCAAACAAGGTACACTCTTCATGGCAATGGTATTCCCTGATGGCAGTGGCCTCTTTCAGCAGGATGTTGCTTCCTGCTACACTACACACATTGTTCAGGAATGGTTTGAAGAAACATAATGAAGAGTTCAAGTGTCGTCCAAATTCTTCATATGTTAAAATATAATCAAATGAAAATAACACAATTAATTTACAACGAAACACTGCATTTTTAATTTTTAAAAATAAAAATATTGAAAATCATTTTTAATAGTGCTATATTTCTGTGATAATTTCTTCAGGTTAAACCAAACTTTTATTTTGGCCATTTGTCCTGAAGATCTTTGAGATTCATTGTGTATTTGGTGGTAGTTTTTCTCAAATGAAATGGTGAAAAGCATTTGAAGCTTGTAAAAATGTCTAAGAGCAGCTCTGGAGATGAAGTTCATGTGTTCATATCTTCATATATTGAGGCAATGAAAACACTGCAAGCATCATGTGTGTTTGAGTTTGTGTAGTAAACCACACTACACCATTCATTCACAAAGAGACAAGCAGAACATGCAGACTTGTTAGCGATTTATTTATATAGCGTCACATTTATTTCTGCTGTGTTATAGGCTGTTAGATTAATCCATATCAGGTAAAAATGTCCAGAGTCATTATCAACATAAATTTGATTGCGGTTTAGGGCTAGAATGTTATATATAGTGATATAAAGTAATTTTTGATCATATATATCATTTCTGATAAATGTAAAAATGTAAATGTGAATATTTTCAAATGGCACAGTAAAACCTAAGAAACTTGAGAATTAAAAAGTGACCGATAAGCCAATATATACTGATTATCTTTAGTGTTTTAAGCTGAGTTCAAATGGTTACAACTAAGCAAAAATACTTTTTCAAATCCCAACTGTCTGTGAAGAGTTCTCTCAGTTTCCCACAATTATTGAGCAAACGCCCACATATGAAGACAATTTCTGGTGAAGTGACTTCCTATAGCTTCCTTAACAGCTATATGAACTGTAGACAACATACTTCACTTGACCTACTTTTTTTTTTAAATGTCTTCGTTAAATGTTAAGGAAATGCATGACAGGAACTAAGGGTATGAATTCCAGCATGTCTAAAATGTCACCCAGATGTGTTCAAATGCACAGAAAATCAGGTGAGATGACAGGTAAATTATTTCCACCATATCAACTGTTAAATCCGTCAGGTGGGAGGCTGCTCTTTGAATCTTACCTTTCCTTGTCCATGTTGATGAGGGTGGGCACAGCCTGGTTGCTTTTGTTGCCAGTACCCAGCTGCCCGTATGAGTTTGCACCCCAAGAGTAAACAAATCCTTCATCTGTAAGAGCCAGTGTGTGTGCATATCCACATGCCACCTGTAAAAACAAGACAGTTCAGGGCTGATAGAAACGTTATTCGCTGGCATATCTGCCATTTATGATTAATTTATTTTGCAACTGAATGTTTACAATAATGCAGGTGTAATTGAGATAAATGTGAGTATTGTTTGGCTACTCATGTGGTTTTGACAGGGCGGCCATAAGCTGTTTCAGCTGTTTTTAGGCCACTGATAGTACTGACATGACCATATATATATATATA